CTTCTGTCCACCCCCTTGTGCCTCGTCTATTCTGAATCTCATCACACCAGATTTGTGCCCTAAGCCGAGAACGGAAAACGTTATCCATCGTTGTTTTCTTTATTTCATTTTTCTCCCTTTCCTTGGTACTAGGGTTTTGCTAGCAAGATCGTGTAATTGTCGAGAATTATACCTCCACATGAAAGGTAAATGACAATGGAGCTAAACCAGTTCAATTCAGTTTATACAACTCTCGTGCATCCTCATCTCGGAAACCTAACCGGGACCTGTGTGACCGAGTCCCCTGGTCAGGGGGTTCATGACACCTAAACCATTTGAAAATTCGAAGGACAGCACATTCAACTAGACTGCTGCGTAGTTTCTCTTCGGTATCGAAGGATTTTCATTGGAAACTAACAAAAACTTGAACATTCTAAACTGAACAGCTGTCTGAGATAATTTTTTTCTTTTGTCCCTCGTCAATCAATTTCAGATTGTTTCTTCCAGAAATCAAACCGAAGTCAGAATAAACATGCGGAATCAAAACGCTCAAACGATTTTACCAAATGATGCATCCACAGTATGTATACAAGATATTTTATGCATAATTTCTTTAGACAGGTAAGGATTGAAACCGGTGACTTACGGTAGCTGGGTCACTCAGATCTGGCAGATGGAAATGCATCAGTGATACTATGGTGGTTGCCAAGAGAACGACAAAAGAACATGCTCCAAAAACAGAGCGGTACATGACAACGCGCTGCAAGAACCTGTGTAAGGGTGTAGTAGGGAAAATGCACAACACAAGGATAGATCAGATAAGGTTACAATTCCCAGGTAAAATAGATTTAGAAAGGATATTATTTCAAACGAAATAATCAACAATTGAAGTGCAGAATATCTTTTCGAAACAGTCCCATGCTATTGGTTTAAAGATTAATGACAACAGAAATTCTCTCTCCCCCTTAAAACTTCGGGGTTAATTCAAAAAAAAAAACAAATAGAGCATTCATACTATTTTTGGACTCGCAAGAGAAATCAAAAAGCGAATCCCGAGTACGGAATTTCACCGAATCGCCAGGGGACAGAAACACATTAAAGAGTTAGAAAAGGTACTGTCGGTTATGGTGTGCTGGAAGAGGAAGAATTGATATGTTTATGAGATCCATTACAGCACATATGAGGTGGTTAGGCTGCGTTAAGAGTCCGGATTCATTGTGGTACGATACCCGAACCAGAAAAAACTATAAGCCAGATGGAAAACTATCGGACGTAGAGAAAATTTCTCACACAAGGACAGGGGAAAGTGGATATGTATGACTTCTGACACTTTTAGATGCATCATAAATTTTAAAAAACCGTACTTGAGTTTCGGCGCGAATGATACAACGAAGACCCAAAATAGCCCCCTGGATGGAATGCCAAATCAGAAGATAAAGCTCTAACGACTTCACAAAAATATTTATTGTGGACCGAAAGTCATATGAAATGAAACTCCGTCTATTGTAACGACACCCAAAATCACTGCCAAAATCGGGTTCGGAATGAAGAATGATAAGCCATAGAAATTCAGTGACGGCATTAGGTGTCTTCTTGATCAATGGTCCAGTCGAGTTGGTTACTTGACACGGGGTACAAGATTCGAGTGTGTATATTTGCGCATGAGGGTAACATATTGTGTCGG